ATAATCATGTAGTTCTCTGTTTTTCCCAACCTTATTTGTTGTATAATCATGTAGTTCTCTGTTTTTCCCAACCTTATTTGTTGTATAATCATGTAATTCTCTGTTTTTTCCAACCTTATTTGTTATATAATCATGTAGTTCTCTGTTTTTACAACCTTATTTGTTGTATAATCATGTAATTCTGTTTTTTCCAGCCTTATTTGTTGTATAATCATGTAATTCTGTTTTTTCCAACCTTATTTGTTGTATAATCATGTAGTTCTCTGTTTTTCCAACCTTATTTGTTGTATAATCATGTAGTTCTCTGTTTTTGCCGACCTTATTTGTTGTATAATCATGTAGTTCTCTGTTTTTTCCAGCCTTATTTGTTGTATAATCATGTAATTCTGTTTTTTCCAACCTTATTTGTTGTATAATCATGTAGTTCTCTGTTTTTTCCAACCCTATTTGTTGTATAATCATGTAATTCTCTGTTTTTCCCCGACCTTATTTGTTGTATAATCATGTAGTTCTCTGTTTTTTCCAACCTTATTTGTTATATAATCATGTAGTTCTCTGTTTTTCCAACCTTATTTGTTGTATAATCATGTAGTTCTCTGTTTTTCCAACCTTATTTGTTGTATAATCATGTAGTTTTTGTTACTGCATGTCAATTTTGTATATTTAATTAGTTTTGTCCCCAGTTAAAGGTTAAACAAAGACTGTAGTTGTACCAAGTACAGCTTACATCAATCTATATTCAAGCATATTTCAGCCTGAATATTAAGATCCTCTATTTGCAAAAACTGGCTTTTGAGGTGTATAAGATGATTGTTATTTATAAGTTTGACTGTTTTTGTTCTGTAATTTATAACATTACTATCTGTCTTTTGATGGTGTTTTGATTTTGGAACACTAAACATAATATGAAATTCAGCCATATTTTAAAGCTATGTATTTTTGTGTTATGTATGTCGTCTGTGTAAATATCAAACTCACATTTCTTTTGGTAATATCAGTATGTCCTTCAAAAGTAATCAGTGTACTATAGAAATGTCTTTTTGTATAAAGGGTTTACATGACTGACTGTGACTTTCTAATACATGCAAGAGTAACATGTAGGTGTGTGTGTGGATGTTACTTTGAAAGCACGTATACTTCTTTTCTAGTTTCGAGCTGCTTTACAAATGGTTGTAAGCCCTGGAGAGCCTCGTGAGAGGTATGATAACTTTGTAAAAGTTGGAGAAGGTTCAACTGGTGTTGTTTATGCAGCTATAGAGAAAACAACAGGTCAGAGAGTAGCTGTAAAAAAAATGGACTTACAGAAGCAACAGAGAAGAGAGCTTTTGTTCAACGAGGTATAATATTAATAGTAGTAGATAGGAGATATTACATAATAATATTATTGTTGTCTTTCATGGGAAAATAAAACATTACTTTTCAGTGGTGAGAATAGAATAAAGCTTTAAAAAGTTATTAAGGAGAAATATATAAAGTAATCTTTGAGTAACTGTTATAAAAATAAGAGCATTTGGAGCAATAATGATCAAGATAAAGTTTCATAATTGTGTCTTAACTTACATGATTTATGCTTCATATGTTGTTGTTACTACTTCAACTGTGTTAGGTTGTGATCATGCGGGACTACCATCATTCCAACATTGTTAATATGTATGATAGCTACTTGGTCGGCGATGAATTGTGGGTCGTGATGGAGTTCCTAGAAGGTGGATCCTTAACTGACATTGTAACACATTCCAGGTACAGATCCTGTTTTATAAATTCAAGAATTATTTTGATATTTATATTTAACAAAGTGCAGAACTTGAGTTATTTTTGGTTTTAAGATCAACAGTTTAAGTGACATAATTATTAGTATGTTATTTTATTTTTCCAGAATAACTATTTTTCAGTCCTTATAGTTTAGTAGACTAATGGTATGATAAGTCCTATTGGGACTTGTTCTGTTATTTTTTTGGTTCTATTT